ACACATTAATAATATCCTATAACCCCTTGATATCAATTACTAATTGATAACACATGTTAATTAGTAAAATCATGTTGGATTAATAATTATTATAAGTTTCAGGTTTCATGTCACTCCGGAGCTTCGGGATCAGCGGATGTCATGTGACTTTGGATATGTGTTTTAGTCTAATCATTAGTGTTCTTTGGCCAGAGGTCTAAATCCTTGATTATTAAGAAATCGGTGTTGACAATGTCTTTTTGGCCATTAATAAAAGATGTTTCTTTCATCAAAATACCTATAATCTCTTAAAATTGTTTGAGAGGTTGTCATCTGACTTTTTGAAGAAAATTGGAATTTTTGCTGGACGTCTATAAATTTGTTATATATAATCTCAATGCCTACTGAATTAACATGTAAAATGACTTTTTATAAGAAACAGTATTTTTTATAAGTTATGATATCAGATATTATATTAATTCTATTCAATCACTTTTACTTGAGGTTGAATTGGTATCTTGTGATTTGACTTGTGGAGTATTAACAACTAAAAGATTTATTTAATTTTTACTAATTAAAAATATTTAAACTTATAAATATATAATATAATAATTAATACTTTATAAATTAGAAGATATTAATTCAATTTTAGATAAAGATAATTGAATTAATCTAAAAATAATATTTGATATTATAATTTATAATATATTGTTTTTTATAAAAAGTTAATTTATATATTGATTTAACAAGTATTAAAATTATAATTTTTTATTAAAATATAGTAATACAATAATTATTTAGTTAATATTATAATAATTATTAAGTAAGAAATTCTATTTATATATTTGAATATATAGATTAAACTATACTTTATCTCAATCAATTTCAATTAATATTTTTCTAATAGTAATTAAAATCTTAATCTAAATTATATATATTTTTTTATTATCATAAAAAAAAATTCAATTAATAATATAATTTTGAATCAAATATGATTTTCAATTATTTATTATATGTTATTTAGTAATTTTATATTATAGAACAATTAAAAAAAAAAAGTAGAATAATTATTAATAAATATCTTAATATAATATAGTTTTTAAAGAACATTTGAATTCAATTATATTATATATATAATAATAATCTGTAAAATTTTACTATTGAACTATAAACTTATAAATCAGTTTATAATCTAATTTTAGTATATATATATATTATTTTAATTTAAAATAATTTATTTTTAGTAAAAAAAAAACTTTTTCCTAATCACGTCCGTTTTGTTAAAAATTTTCCTTTTATAGTAATTTTAAGCAAGAAAAAATATTTTACACTCTTTATCGCAAGTGAGTTTCAGCTCAGGAACTCAAGAATTTTCAAGACAATTGATGCAATAGGATGGGACCTCCGATCAAAGTTTATTCAAGTTTGGAAGTCTTGTTTATTTTTTGGTTGCATAAGGAAAAACCTGTAGCAATTTTCTTTTCTTTTGTTCTCTTGCACCCCTTCTTACTCTTATTTTATCATAAAAATTATCTATATTATCACCATTATATTTACTAAACAAAATACTTTCCAAAACACACACTTAAATAGAGTTAATGGATTTATTGTTTGTTTCAAATCAACTCTCAAATTTAACCTTATTATGACGACACTTGCTGTGTCATCTCAAACTTTTCAATATTCTTATCTGGTCAAAAAACTGAAATCAGTTTACCTTCTTTAGATGATTAATGCTTTTCAATCATTTAATCAGATTTCGTTTAAAAATCAAAACAAAAATCGAACTTGTTTAAACTGGTTTTGTATCACAATAACAATAATCAAAATAACATCAATCACATCACCACTGATAACTATAACAACAAATAACATCACATATACTCTATTATCTATAGTAACCAAAAAACCAGAAAAATGGAACAATAAGCCTATCTGGGGGTTTTCTTGAGAAAATAATTGATTTTCTATTTATAAAATTTATAGTCTACTTTACTTAGTTTTAATTTTAATTATGTTTATTTTTTTTTCTTCTTAAATTACTTTACTTACAAATTTATAAAAAGACTTCCCAAAATTTTCTAAGTAGGTAGGCATAGCCACTATTCAGGCACAACTAATATATAGTATTGTTTTGAATTTCTTTTTCAATATTAGCTAGATGTGTATGTGTAGGCAAGCTAGCATTTAATTTGCTACTTTATATATGTAAGAGATGTTGTTTCTTTAAGATGTATACCATGTTATATATAATATTAAATAAAGAAATGATGTTTACTTATGGGAAAAATCCCCTTCCAAAAAAAAATAATAATAATTTATTTTTAGTAAAAATCTTTAATATAATAATAATTAATAAAAATATAATAAATTATATATTTAATATTTTTTAAAAAATAAATTTAATAATAAAGTTTGAAATATAAACCTATTAATTAATATAAATTATATAAATAAATTAAAATAAATAAATAAATAAATATTATAATTAAATTTGTTAGCATATATAAAATTTCTTATATATATAATATATTTATAAATTAATAAAACTATAGTATGCAATACGTACCCAAGAGATGTTGTTTCTTTTACAATGTATACCTATAATATACAATAAAAATAAAGAAATGATGTTTACCTACTGGGGAAAACCCCTCCAAAAAAAACAAAAATAAAACCATAGTATTGATGATTTTTTATTTTAAAAAAAAAATTATTAAAATTAAATAAAAATTTTAAAAAACAATAAATTTATATTTTTTAAAAAATTTTTACTTAATATAAAAAATTTTTTTAAATTAATTTTTTTTATACTATTTAAATAATTATTTTATTATTTTAATGAATATTTTAATTTTATAAAAAATTTAAATAAATATTTATAGCTATTTGATATTATTTAACTATTATACTGATTTAAAATTTTGTTTAATATAGATTAAATAGTTATTATGGATAAGTTAGCATTTAGTTTACTACAAATACATATAAAAAATATTGTTTCTTTACAAATATATACCTTGTAATATACAAATAAATAAAAAAATGATGTTTATCTAGTTTAAAAGAAGAATAATAAATATTTTAATTATAAATTGCTTTTTTATTTGTATTAATTTTTTTAAGTTAAACTAGTAACAATGGAAAGTGAATAAAAACAATACTGTAAGGGAAATTTTTTACCCCACACTGCGTATAAACGGAAATAAACACATCAGTCCAAGTATTCTGACATCTAATCTAATGATGTATAATGAGAGAAACAATAATACGCTCGTCTGATTCTACGTTCACATAACACACACAACATGCGTGGTTTTTTGGACCAACAGGAGAAAATTAAACTGGTGACTCATATTCGCGGGCAAGTTCGGGCATTAATTTCTTTCCACGTTATCAGTCGATTATTTCACCTGACCTTCACCCCGAAAAATGATATACAAATGTTGCCATTTTTAGCCATCACAACTGCTTATAATTGACTTTTCATTCTCTTTTTCTTCAAATCAAAAATTTTCATCGCAATCAATACTTTAGATAGACACGTCACATTCGGTTTTCGGCAACTAAAAAAATTCATAATTCCATAAGATGCAGCACATTAAAACGAATACTGCATTAGTTGCTTTGGCCAGACAGAATGCTCGTAATTTACTTGTAACAAAGGGTAATTCGGTTTTAGGGTATCACCACACGCCTGGAGGGATTTCCAACAGAGGGAGAAAGAGCGCTAATAGTGGGGCCAAACTTCATGGGTCAAGGCTTGGACCGCAATCGCCTTTTAGTAGTGCCTCTTCTGGAGTTTCTTTGATCGATAAAAATCACAAGAAGGCAGAAATCAGTACAATAAATTCATTTAGATCTCGCGGAGAACCGTCAAGTTCGAATTTTGTAAAAAACAATAATAATGTTAATGGTAAATCAACTAGGAATTATAGTACTACCGCAACAACTACGGCTTCGACATCGTTCCAGCAAAACCCACCAGAAATATTTAACTCTTCATCCATAACAGGAAATGGTGGGGAATCGGTTCAGCAGCGTAGTAGTACCCGTAGTGAAATGTTAATCATCAGGGACTATAATGACCAGTTGGTTCGCTTGAAACAAAGGGGACTACCGAAGGAAATGGAAAAGTTGCTTGAGGAAATGAAGAGTAAGGGTGTACAACCAAATACGTTTACCTACAACTTGATGCTTGATACACTTGCATCATTTCGAAATGAAACCAACAAATTGGATAAGCTGATGCAATATTTTGACGAAATGATCAAAAATAATGTACAACCAAATCTATCAACGTATAGCATAATGATCAAGGCGTTATGTAAAAGGGAATACGAGACCCAGACAAAAATATACCAGTTGAAAAAGAGGTTGAACACAGGAAATGAACAACGGGGTGCACATATACAAAAATCCATTGATAATCTTAGAGAAGAGAAATGTGTAGAAACTGCATATAATCTTTTCTTGCAAACTAAAGACAGACCCGGATATTTTTATGAGAGTGATTTGTGCGACAGCATGTTACGATCATTTAGTTCGCACGGAAGAATAGAGGAAGGCCTAACTATTTTTGAATATATGGAAAACCGAGGAATAGTGTCTGGATATACATTCGGGTATTTAATAGCAATGTATAGTCATGCAGGAGATATGGAGAGTGCACTTGAGTGCTTCAATGAGTATAAGAACGTTGAACCGAGATTACCTCCAAAGTATGAACCAATGGCTATTTATAATCAGCTAATTTCGGCATATCTACGATGTGATCGGATATCGGAGGCCGTCAATGTGTTAGAAAATCTTGTTCCAATGGCAGGACTTAAAGCAGATGAGTGGACTTATTTCTATCTGATCCGAGATTTGTGTGATGGTGGTAATATAGAAGAGGCTCAACGTTGGTTCGACAAGATGAAAAATAACGAAAACTTACCAAAACCATTCCTCCTAATATACGATACTATGCTGTTGCATTATTCCGGGATTGGTGATTATACTAATGCGACCAAAATTTATCAAGAAATGCAGGATTTGAACCTTACGCCAAAGTATACAGAGATGGCCTGTTACTTATCCTTAACTCTCAGACATAATCCTGATAAATTGCTTGATCTCTTGGATGACATGTTAAAATGTAGTCAAGTGACGGATAACGGATTAACAAAGGAAATTGTTAATCATTTTCTTGAAACAAAAAAACCGGCGCAAGCTCTTTCGGCCATAATCAAGATCATCGCACTCACCGAACGTCATAGTAGCGGGCCTTCAAATCGATCAATAATTTCACCTCCGAATCACGAGGAAACCCTAATTTCTCTATTTAACAATTCAGAGCTGACATTAAAGGAGGCTATCGATGCCAAATTTTTATTATTTGACAGTGGATATCGACCAATGGTGAATATCAGTAATTCGTTACTCGAAAGATACGAAAGGCTTAAACGAGAAAATCTTCTTGCACCACAGTTGAAGGAACTAGAAAATCATCATATTTACTCACTTTTCGACAATGTCACTTCTATATGGTATGGTGAAGATCCGAAAAGCAAGGCTGCATTCAAGGAAAAGACGTTCGAGATATTAGAGAGTTTGCAAGAGAACGGGATCACCCTACCATATAAGGCTTTCACAAAAATTCACCATCATTTCTTGGAAATCTCCGATAACGAAGGGGCAGAAAAGTGGAAACAAATGTCATCGAAATCATTATCTAACAATAGAGCGCAAGAGGAGACAGCAACATCAGTTAGCAGTAACAATATAGGCCGTCAACCTACCATCCAAGAGATCAATCGGTCATCGCAAATCGCCCAAATGTGCAAAACGCATACTATCGATTCGGTCGCTTTAATGAATGAGATTCGACAGATGCTTAACGAAGGATTAATTCCTACACCCGAGGTCGTGAGTCAAGCAATTCGAAATCTGGGGAAGGGTAAAATGCTCAGTGAAGCAGAGGAACTATACAATCTTGCTCTTGATTTCTTCAAAAAATTAGATCCGTCAGTTGGATTCCATGCTTTGCAATGGTCACGTAACAGCATGTTAATCGCATATGCTTGCAATTCCAGATTGGACGATGCATATAGACTATACGACGAACTATTTGAAAGTGGATCGAAGCCGGATGCAAATGCCTATGCTGATCTTTTAGTTGCCGAGGGAGACAGGGATCCCGATGAGGCAGCCACAGCTTTAAAATTGTATGCTGAAATAAAGCAATATAATATAAAACCAACATTATATTTTTACAATGTTTTAATCAGTAAACTTGGAAAGGCTCGCAAGTATGACATAGTATGGGAGGCTTTCAACGAAATGAAGGCACGCAAGATTCAACCTAATTCTATAACTTACGGTGCATTGATCACTGCATGCACTCGAGTGAAATCCGAAGAAAGGGCACTCCTGGTGTTGCAAGAGATGGAGAATTCGAGATTTTTCCAACCGCGTATTGGACCTTACAACACAATGATGCAATTCTATACTTGGGATTTACATGAGAGGGAGAAGGCGCTTAAATATTTCGGTGAAATTCAAAGACTTCAACTACAACCTTCTGATCACACCTACAAGTTATTGATTGACGCGTATGCTACCATAGAACCGTACGATATGTCATCAGCGCTTAATGTACTTGAACAGATGAGACGAGACGGAAAGAAACCACAGCCAACACATTACGCATCGATAATTTATGCATATGGACATTGTCAAAATGATGTTCAAAACGCTCTTCAAACATTTAACGACATGCTGACAGTTCATGGCGTTCAACCAGATCAAAATGCTTATCAAGCATTGTTTGATACTTTAATTTCTAATGATCGTATAGTGGAAGCCGAAGAATATTATGATGTCATGATAACGCAAAACATTGTAAAGTCTACTCCATATATTGAGAATTTATTCATTAAAGGCTACGGGCAACTGGGACAATGGGAAAGGGCAGAGACCGTATTCACCAATATGATAGACCTTGACGATGTTGATAATTATCATGGTGTACCCAGAGAGCCTAGCACTTATGAAGAGATGGTTAAAGCTTATGTAATTAATGGACAAATAGAAAAAGCCAAGGAAGTTGCGAGTATATTAGAAAGGAAAGATTTCCCGGAAATTGTTAAAAATAACATTGCGGACTTATTGCGCTAATCCCTTTTTTTTTTTTTTGAGAAAACAGACATTGCTGAACCACGTTGGTACATATATATTGGAAATATAATGTTTTTATAATTAATTATTATGTGCAAAAAAAACCTTTATGTACTATAATACATTAATTGCAAATTAAACAAAATAAAATTTATTATATATTAGTTTATATACAGTATATTACATTTGATTAGACATTTTTTTTTATTTTATAACTTAAAGCATTATGAAAGATTATTAAAAAATTAATTTAAATAAATATAAAAAAAAATAATAATAAAATTATTTAAAGATTATAATTTAACAAAAAATTTAAAAATAAAATAATTATGTTATATAATTCAAATGAAATGTATTTAATATTCTTGAAATACAGCATAAGTCAAAAGTGGTGGTTATCAACTTTACACATTATTCAAGTTATTTTAGTAGTTAATTTTAAAACAATTAATAATCTAACATTCAAATATTTAAAATTCAATTACAAATACATTTATTTCACATTGTAAAAAATTTTTTTCTATTTCATTAATTATTATAATAAAAAATATTACTTTATATAATATAATGAGAATTATATATTAACAATATTAAAAAATCAAGATTTTATTACCGTATACTGTACTGTATATTATTATATTTAAAAAAATAATTGTTACCAATTAAATATATACAAATATATGCAGTATAAAAAAAGTAACAATATAATTATATTATAACGAATTTGCACCCCTTATAGTCACTACATTATCCGCGGCGTGATTATACAGGAGGCTTATTGTAGCACGTATTGCCAACACCTTTTAAAATCTTCATCGAATCTTTTGATATGACAGACGCGCTTTTTGACGCGACTTTACACATATTATTTAAAACAAATCCATTTGAAGTCATTATAATACGTTTAGTATGAGCAAACGTACCAAACTCAATAGATCGAATGAGAGTTATTTTAACCTTCAGAGGGACCTCAGACTGTCAGGAACTCCTCGTCCTATAAAACCCATAGAAGACAGCATCGAAAGAACTCAAGAGTATAATGATTTCATGAAGGATCTCGAAGAATTCCATAAGGCTCACGGGTACACATTACTTTTATTGGAAAAATATAAATTTTGTTCTCTCAAGGTATTTATGTTGCTTCTTAAAAATTCGGTATAGCACCCCACTACAAAAGGAGCCAGTTCTCGGATCCAAAAAATTAGATCTGTATAGAATATATAACATGGTGATCGAAAATGGTGGTTGTGAAAAAATTTGCCTGGAGAAATCATGGAAAAAAATCTGCGAGCCGTTCAATTTTCCTGCGACCTGCACCAATAGTGCTTATGTGATGAAGAACGTATACATCAAATTTCTGGAGGCGTATGAATTGGAAAAACACTGGGGCAAAAAAGTACCATACGGCGGTATTCCACAGAGACCGCAAACAACACCCTCAACTCCCCAGGTTATCCAGGCGGTCCAATCTCCTGTCCCTCAATATTTAGAAATGTCTACTCCTCCCTCTCGAAGAATTGTGCCTCAGGATAATGTGCAAGGTTAGTAAAACTTTGGATTTGGTTGCGAAAGCGCATCAAATTTTTCTAATCAAGCATTCAATTTATTTAGCAAATTATTCCGATCCTGAGACTCCCGTACAAACATATAACAATTATGATTCGGGCACTCCTATTGCATATAATAACCATGACACGATGGCAGATCCGATAGCAATGTCACTAGAAATGCAAGAGCTAGAAGAGGATGAGGATGAGGATGAGGAGGATGAGGAAAATGGTAATGTGCTTTATTTTATGATATATTAAATGTTTCACTTGCAACATAGACAGACTACCGTTAACGTTTTAATTTACACTAAGGCTTTCTTCTTGGAGGCGGACACCATAATCGTATGCTTCTCGCCCTGAAGTCTCAATTGCCAAATGAGATTGACTGGGCATTTGAAGTATTGGTACAATTGTCAGCAGATGATACAATCAACTTTTATTTAGATAAAATTCCGGGATTAGTTGATGTCATTCTTTCGTTCGTGGCTCCTTTTTATAAGGATATAAGAAAGTTTACGGGAACTGAACCTGGCAGTATGTTGACTATAGACAGTGAGAAGGACACCGAACTTTTTGTGTCGAGCGTTAATGAATTTCTGAGTTTACCGGTGAAAATTGAACAATTATCAAGAGTTCAGCAAATATTTCTGATGTTTAGAAATCTTTCTTATACCGAACATAATATGAAATTTATGGCTGGATACAAGCCATTGCGTAGGTTTCTGGTTGAGGCCCTCTCATTACCCGAGATCTCACGATTATCTGAACTCAAGCTTCATTGCCTGGAAACGCTGGCAAATTTGTGTCGGATCATAACATTGAAAAGCAGTAAAGAAGAACTTGTCATGAACCTTTCTAAATTACTCTATTCTAAAGATAGCTTGATCGTTTTATTAAGCATCAATGCAATGACAAATTTGGCAGCTAATGGAAATAATGCTGATCATTTACAAGAGATAGATCCAGTCGCTGTACAACGTTTGGCACAATTGTTGCTCGTCGACGACGATGATGAATTAATACTTTCTGTGTTAGATTGGTTTTATCAATATACCACATACGAAAACTCTGCATATGCGATAATTCAGTATGCACCAAACAACTTCATACGTCTTCTGATAAATTTCCTGCGTTATGGTGCTAATGACGAAGACTTTTTACAAGATCAAAGAACGTCAGCGGAAAGAAATCCTTATTATATTCGCGGGGATTTTGAAAATTATCCCGAACCTTACCGTACTCATGAATGGTGAATGTAAAATAATAATTCTACGGTGTTTTGTTTTTTTGTTATACTTACTAATTGATAACATTAACATATGTTATTAGGCTGAAGTTATATTACGTTGAATCCCCTTTCGATGGTGTTTTACAAACAGACATTTGGTATGCGTACCGCGATCAATTCATGAACTCACATTTCCCGATGATGCCGGCCGCTGAAGTCATCAAACATGTCAATCAGGCATTTCCAGAATCCAGTGCGGTCATGACCACTACATCCGATGGCTTATCTAAATATCCTTTTATTGCCCTTTAATTTGTGTTGTTTTATGTTGTTTAATTAATTGTATGTATTCTTGACTATATTCACGTATATGATTCAAGGAATAAAGCGTAAACCATTACCAGAAGAAGTAACGCTGAAAAGTAAGATATACAATACCCATTATTATTTAAAAACGTATTTACATTTTTAACTAATAATTTTTCTTTTGACAATTAAGATCCTACGTATAAATGCCGTTGGTTGGGTTGCAGGATAAATAACTTTGTATCAGAGAATGAATTATATAATCACGTTATTAGCGATCATATTAACAATAGTCCTGATGCTCGATACGAATGCCATTGGATGGGATGTCATCGATTTCCTGTCGGATCGGACAATCGGTTAGCTGTTATTGCTCACCTTAAAACACATTTCCCTGTTAGCCCAGACGAAGGTGATAACCGAAAACGCAAGGCGAAATCTCCGAAAATGAAAGCGTTGAATAAATACGGAAAAAACAACGGAATAATCACCCATAGGACATATGTTACTTCAGATATGAATGGCGATGCTATTGGTATTCCATTAACAGCGTCCCTGATACTTCGAAATTTATCCATCTTCAGAAAAAATCTTCATTACTTTGAAGCATATGAACAAGAACTAACGGACATGTTGGCTAATTGTGTTGGTTTGTCTAAACATTTGGCTGAGACTTTAAGTAATTTGAAATCTGTATAGGTGTTTTGTATTATGTACTTTAAAAGTTTTTGGAGAACTTTAATGACGAGATTTGATTTGATTATTCTTCTGTTTGCTTTAAGCGTTGCATTGTTCATATTAAAAGTGGAATATGGTTTTGTACCTACAGTATATACTTAATTGTATAACCTAGTTCTGAAAGAACCATTTGTTGTTTGAAAAAGATATTTAATTATAACTTATTTTATTTTTTGTAATAATAGAATCTTATAAATGTAATAATTTCGAGTAATTTTCCTATTATTACTAATAATTTGTTTAGATCATGGTTAAGACAATTTTCTCATTTGAAATTATCGTTCGAGATGATCTTAATTATGGAGTTTCTCTTTACAGTTTCTTGTTTCTTGTTTTTAATTTAATACTATTTATATAATTTATTAATAAATTATTTTTAGAAAATATTTTGAATTATATAAATTACTATAATATACTGTATATACAGTACATACAATAATAAGTAAAAATTTTTAAAATTTTTAAAGTATAATATTTTAGTTGGTTTTTTAATTTTTTTTTATATAATTTCAAAATTTTCAATAAATAGCAATATTAAATAATAATTAATTATTTCTTTTTTTGATATCTAAACTTTTTAATTTCAAGAAAATTGAATAATATTACAAAACAAGATAATAAAACTTTTATTTAATTTTATAACTATAGTACAGTACATATTTAAATATTTAATCAAATTTATTATAAATAAAAAATATTTATAAAAAATATTACAGTATTTAAATAAAAGTATTATATATTTTAAATTTATTATTATATAATAATTTTATTTGAAATTTTAATAATAATATTTTTTAAAGACCTGTAAATTCATAATACAGTGGTTAGTACTTTACAAGTTAGATCACAAAATATCAATTCAATTTCAGATAAAAGCAGTTAAACAGAATTAATATGGTGTTAATAGTATAACTTGTCAAGTATTGTTTCTTATAAAAAGTTCTTTTACATACTAATTTAATAAGCATTAAGATTGTAATTTTCAAAAAAGATATTGTGATGTAACAATTATTCAATTAATACTATAATAATTACTAAAAGTAATAAAAAAGTATAAAAGATATTTGTTTTTAATTAGTAAATTTGATGATTATTTTTTATAATATACAATTTTTTTTCTATAAAAATTTTATTTAAGTCTTATTTCAATTCAATAATAAGCCAATCTAGTAATGCTTATTTCAAAAAGATATTTAGCTATAAGATTAAAATAATAACAAAAATATAAAACTAATCTAGTAATAAGTATTAGTTATAAGTTTATCTAGAATGTTTTTAAGTAATATTTAAATAGATAAGAAATTAAATAGTTAGTTTAACTATAAATAATAATAAAGAAGATAATTTTCAATAAATCAAAATAGAAATTTCTATAATTATTTTATTTATCAAAAATAGATATCATCTTCAATTTATTCAATTTTTTTTTTCTTAATATATTTCCTTTAAATAAAATTTAATTAAAATCTTATTATATTAGCTTAAATATTTGTCTTTGAATAAGTTAACAATAACAAGTTAATATATTAAAATAGCATAAATTAAATTTAGATATAATTTTATTTATATATATTAAACTCTATACAATATATACTTTGTAAAATATATAAAGTATCAAATTGAAAAAACTCTGTCCTACTTATATTATCTTATCAGAAAACTTCCTTTTTAGAAAATTTTTTCTTTTTCCCTTTTGCTTTTCTTCTTCTATCAAAAATAAAATCTTATAGCAAGTTGAGTTTAAGATATATTAATATTATATGAGACTTTTCAACTATTGAGTATGTTATATTTAGAAGAAACACTTATATTTAGGAAAGTATAAGTAGATCAACTCCTATATATGACAGCAATCAAAATCAAAAATTAGAAAAATTTTGAAATAGTTAACCTTTTCTTTGTAAGGCTCTATATATATCTGATAATTATAAATATAAGAGCAATTTATCGAATTCTAGTGACAGTTAATGGGTAAGAAAAACAGTCCTTTGCATAGTCCACACCTAGGTATGAACCCACCCCCGAGGTGTAAGTTGGTACCTGGGTTAAAATAAGGGCAGGGTCATTAGTTAATTAGTGATAGCTTAGACTGTTCATATAATGGCAACTTGTAAATCATGTGATTTATGAAATAAAATCTGCACATGTATCGCACCTTAGCCCTTATAAAAAAAAAAAAAGAGCAATTTATCTTTTTCTTTTTTCAAATCTCTCATCTTACTGATAAATAGTTTTTTCTTCTTTTTAAAAATTTTTTTTTTAGATTTTTCTTTCTTTTATTATTTCATTTTATCAACTCTCTAGTTTATCATCTTCTTATTTCAATCAAGTTATTAACTTTATTCAAGTTAATGTCTTACTTATTCAAGAAGTATAGACCCCTTCTCAAGATTTCTTTTCTTGTTTTAAAAAACTTAATATAGAAAAGATCAATTTAGTTTTATTCTGATTGAAAGATCTAAATTATGAGAATATTGATTTTATTATTTTAAAAGTTTTAGGTATACCTTTTCATAATTAATTACTATATGTCAAATCAGTCAAATATAAAAAAAAATTATAAAAAAATAAATTTAACTAACAATATTAATTATATAAAGTTTTGTATTGTTAAGAATCTAGATTGCTAACCAGTATGTTAGAAGTACAATCAAGCCTCATTATATCAAACTTTATTATAACAAAGAACCAAATAAAAACCTATTATCCTGAAGATAAGTACAGAAACATTTATAGCAAATTTAATTTGTTATATTAGATTTACTAATTGAACCTTATTATATTGAATTTCTTGAAATTTTTGCCTTATAGTTTCAACATATTTATTATAATAAGGTTTAACTATATATAGTTATAAGCAACTCTATTAACAATACCTGATAATATTATTATTATTTTTATTTTTTTGAAGAAGTTATCTCTAGCAAATAAACATCATTTCTTTATTCATTATCGTATACTGATTATATATACATTAAGAAAGAAATAACATCTCTTGAGTGTATATTGCATACAACAAGTTAAATGCTGGCTTGCCTATTTAATCACTATCTAACTAATATTGTAAAAAATTTCAAAAGCAATATTAAAATATCAAATAGTGGAGTAGTGGTTATACCTATCTACTTGATAAAATTTTACAAAATCTTTTAATTTTTTGAATATAAGATAAATAAAAAAAAATAACTAAAACTAAAACTAAGTCACTTAAACTATAAAATCTATATAAACAAAAAGAATATTTAAAAGGTGACCAATAGTCCAGCCATTGCACTGGCACTGGTCTTAGAGATGTGACCCTTGTTGATATGGATAGTAGAGTATAGTTAATGTTGTTTGTTGTTATAGTAGTTGTTGTTGTGGTGGTGTTGAAAAACTGGTTTAAACAGGTTCAGTTTTTTTTTTGTTGTTTTGGTGAAATTTTATTGGATGATCGGAGAGTGACAATCATCTAAAGGGGATAAACTGATTTCAGTTTTTTGGAGATTTTGAAATAGCACAATAAATAGCGTCATGGTGAGATTGTATATAAAGGTTGTATTAAAACAAACAATAGATTCAACAATAGACCCAACAATATTATTTAAGTATGTTTTTTGAAAGGTGTTTGGTTTAGTGAGTATAATAGTATTAATATAGATAATTTTTATAGTATAATAGAAAGAAGGAGAGGTGCAAGAAAACAAAAGAGAAGAGAACTACCACAGGCCTTTCCTCATGCAACCGAAGGATAAGCAAGACTTCCAAACTTGAGTAAACTTCAACTAGAAGTTTCATCCTACTGCACCAGTTGTCTTGAAAGTTCTTGAGTTTTTGAGCTGAGGCTCACTTGCAATAAAGAGTGTAAAATATTTTTTTTTGCTTAAAATTATCATAAAAGAAAAATTTTTAACAAAACAGATGTAATCAGGAGAAAGTTTCTATTTCTGACAATATTATTATTTCATATACTATTCTAAATTTTATATAATAAAAAATCATTAAAAAATTATTAAAAAATCAATATAAATTAATTATATCATATTTATATCTAAATTACTAATATGAACAAGACTATCAATCCTTAATTATATTTTCTTTAGCCATATAGTTACTCAGATCCAGGTCACAATTCAAAATCTAAGCACTATAATATTTTTTACTATCATTACTTATAAAGCACATATATACAGTTTATAATACAACTAGTAACTAGTTATTTTTTATCTTTTTTTTTCTTTATTTGGATTCTTAAAAGTTTGCATATATTAACTTTATTTGCAATAAATTACAATTAATTTACTTACTTTGTATATTAGAGATTGTTAATATAATAATGAAAAAATAAATGTTTAATAAATGTCTTACATATAATATCAATTTGCAAAAAAAAAATAAATAATAATAAAGTATCAAATTTTTAATAAAGCAAGACTTCAACCAGTGTTTAAAAATAAAAATAAAGTTTGTGTTACTTATAAAAAATTATATTTGACTTACAAACAATATATATTTTGATTAAATAGTATTGACACAAGTATAGCTGATATAAAAAACAATAACAAATCATATGATCTGATAAATCAAGATTTATTTTATTCAAGTCTAATAAATAGGACAAAATATAACAAAGAATAGAAAAGACTTATAATATAAATTGTGTAAATCTACTGTTAAATTTGATAGAAGATTTATTATGTTTTGAAAATGGTTTAGTTGATATAATATTGAACTATTAGTAATAGTAGATAAAAATATAAACTCAAATATATACTGTATATTAATATTCTTACAAAGAACTTAATATCATGAATTAAATAATTATTTAAATTCATAACCTAAACCAACTATAGGAACTATTCTTGGAGCATTTACTAGGAAGTATATATTCATGGCGGATACTCTGAAAAAAACATAAGAGCGACTTGTGTTGAGCTCCAGTGGTGAAACAAGAATAGCCTACCCAGGTGGTACAGAAGAGC